AGTGGTAATAATAATAATGACAATTTCAGTCAATGAAAACAATATTACTACAGTGTATGGGAGCCCTGATCGCAGACTAGGGCAAATTAAATTATTACATTCCCTGTCATCACCTAGTGTTTGCTTAAATTTACTGCTTCATATTGCTGGATTGGCAGCCTATTTAAATTATTCAGCACTTTTGTAATGCACTACCTCTTTAATTATGCTTTTAAACATAGTTTCTCTTTTCTGCTTGGAAGCAGTTAATCTAGTTTCAGGCTCCTCGTTCTCATCTTCAGGCAAACAAGGCATCACATTAGGATTTTCTCAAATATGAAAATCATTTGTTTTCAGTCAGTCAAATAAAATTAAAAGGCAATGTTTGTCTACTGTTTCTGCTTCTATATGGCTTCTATTTATTCTCTGTATCTGTCAGTGGAACTTCATTGTAAAATTCTAGATTACTTTTTCAAAGATTCCCTACCAATGGGCGTAAAGCTCTGACAGGCAAACATCACATGAAAAGAGAAGAGAAAGACATTCTTATGGCAAATTCAATCATCTTGTGAAATTCTCTAACATTAGAAATAAAGAAACCGTTTACCTGCAAACAGCCACAGCTGAGAGAATAGGAGGAATTGAACACACTCCAGTTTGATGAACTGCTCACTAAACTGCGAAGCAACGGAGATAACCGCAACAAGCACTGCCCGAGCACTGAAAGTGGTGCATGGAGACAGATAGTAAGTTAAAAGTAAAGAGCCACAATCTCATCTTACGCTAACTTGGTTATTGCAGCTTTAAGAGAGAGGTTTGGAAAGTTTTCCACTCCATACTACTCTTGTACACCCCTTCTAAAATTAGAAAGGGGCAGCTGGCTATTGCAGGCGAAAGGCTGGAGCCCCCCAGACTCCCTCCCCCCTTGCCTTGACTGACGTGACTCCCAAGAGCCACGGAGGAATTTGGGGAAGGGTGCTTCCACCTGTTGGGCATGGAATGAGGTTGTCCAGGCATTCAATTTTAAATCCAACTGTCAGGAGCTGACAATAAAACAGGACACAGGACAGCTGTGAGGACTACAGGAACACCCCCACACACCTTCTCCATACTCCTTCAGTTTTGCGGTTTGTCTTACAGCAGAAACAATGCATGAAAAATTGTTCCCTGCTGATTTGGGCTTATAAAATAGAAGGGATCACTTCAGATTTGTTCTCATAATTTTCCAGCTGTGCTACAGGGTCTTAGCACAGAATCTGGCAAGTGTTCATACATCATCACACACCTCCAAAACCAGATTTTTTTTTGTAAATAAAGCATGCTGGCAATTGCACTGCAGATGGTGCATATAGCTGCATTCTGTACAGCAACTACTTTTATGCCTGCCTTAACACGGAGCTCACCTTGCCTTTTCCACTCAGTTTGAGCCGATTATTAGTTCAAAACATTTTTCAAAAAAAGTGTATGAAAACCATGACCCTTTTTGTTTTTTTTTTTAATTTGTGGAAAATGAGCAAATGCTTTTGTCGGTGTGAAAAAATGGAGGGAAAAATTAAGTCCTTTTAATGAACCTGCTTAGCATGCTCAAACTCCACTGCTCAGCATGACGTGACTCAGAACAGGGTGTGAGAGACGAGGTAACAACAGACAGGGCTGCGCATTATTCTCGGTCCCTTTTACAACGTCCACTACTGAAGGCAATACGGGTATTGCCATCCTCCAGGTGCTCAAAGGCAACAGCAGGAGTAGCAGAAGAGGAGCCACACTCCACCTTCCGCCTGGGCTGGCTACCTGCAAGGGGGCCCTCGCTAGCTGCGGGTGCCTGTCTGCTCTCAACCCGAGGAGCAGTTTGACTGCGTTTCCCAGTCCGGTTTGCAGAGTGCTGGAAATTTGTCCGCAAACTGGGTGTGTAGCTGGTTCTGTTCCCCAAAGATCGTGTTCTACCCAAAGTTTGTATGCTGTAAGCTCACGGAACAAGAAACATCCCCTTCTCAGTCCCAAAGCCCAGACCTGGTGTCTTTGCTCTATATAAGCACATTTTTGCTGTCACAGACTATTTAATTTGCTGAGCTGCTGACAGTTAGGGACAGTTCAACTTCAGAAGTGAGATTTCTCTAGAAGAAGCCTAAGTATTTTACAGTTTGAAAAACATCAAATGGCTATGTTTGCTGCAGGCAATGAAATAATTATACAAGGAGGACAGTAATCAGCTGCCTGTGAGCAACACAGACAGACATTACTCTTCACCTCTGGCTGAGGAGGGGTTCCTTAATGAGATCTGCATTAAGTACCTGTGGATATTTAACAAGAGCCTTTTAAGGACAAAGCCACAAACAGCTACAAAAAGGACCTACTTCTTCAACACAGCAACCGTCTTCTAATCCCAAGCCTTCCCCCTCCCCCAGAAGGGGCTACTGTGTACAGCATCTTGCTTTTGATTTATTTTTCCAGACTAAGCAGCACACCATATATTTGGAAATACATCTCACTTTCCCAAAAAAAAGTGTTTCTCTTTTGTCTGGCACAACATTAAGTAGAACATTAAGTCTTTAGTTTCCAGGCACCTTCCTATTTTGTCTTGAAACAGAGGAACATAGCTCTTTAATACACCATAGTTTTAGAAACAGAAAATAATCTGGATTACGTGTTTTATAGTATAATAGCATAGAATCTCCTGCTTTCATGTCATAACTTAAGCCTTTTTTGTGGTTTCCAATTCTGCCAAGTGTATACTTTTTTCCCTAAGCTAGTTTTCAGTAAGACTGTCCCTCCAGTCAGTTCACAGTGCACAGTTTGCAACAGCAGAGATACAGGAACATGCAGCTAGGCGTGGAACAAGAATGAAGTCATCCCTTTTGTCAGCTGCTGACTCTTGTATCGGACTAATGAAACAAGTGAACCGTATCTTATCATTAGTTCCAGCTGAAATGATACTGAACACTGGGTCAGTACAAGAACACCAAGTAAAAGACAATTCAGAGCTACTACAATTTCCTTGTGCCCCATTAGAGAAAAGCCCTGATATTATCGAATATATGCATCTGCATCCCAGTATCTATCACCCCACTCAGGTTTCTTAAAAGTTCTAAATTTTGCAAAAGGTTGTATTTTAGGCGTCTGTGTTTGGTCAAAGGTAAAAGGAACAATCTTAAAACATGTAAAAAAAAGTCTGACCTCTTAAAATTCAATGGGCAAATCTTAAAACAGCTTATAAAACAAACAAGTAAATTTATTTTTAATGATGACTAAAATAGTTTACATAATATACAAACAGATATGCTATCAGGACACACTCGGAAATAAGTCACAGTTGTTTTTTTTAAAAAACATTTGTCCAGTGAAATGTCCAAAATGTAAATGCCATCTTTTCCTTCCTGAGCTATTCTTAAACATCCAGAACAGCAGAACTTCCATGTCTTTTTACTGCTTATATTTCTTCCCATTAAAATAAAAAGCACTATCCATTGCTGGCTCTCTGGTTAGAACAAATCCACCTCTGGTTTAAGTAACCACAGCTCTCTGTCACTCAAACCGTGTTTTTTTTATACGCTTAAGGTGATTTTGGTCCATTCCACGTAACACCCCAAACCTTTGCTTGCACAAAGAACCCAGAAGCTCCAGCACCTCAAGAGGTTTTCCTGGTCAAGAAGGACTTTTTGCAAGAAGTCAGCTCAAGGGGCTTGTGAATAAAGGATGGGTCCAAGAGCCACTAATCTCTCAGCTGTTACAAGAAAATGTCCTATTAATTTGAGAGCAGACTTCACACGTTCCTTCATACTCAATAAAACCAAATGCACACGGACCAGTGGTTCAAGAGCATACACTAACAGCAATGACATGGAAGTGCTGCAATTCTCTTTTTTTTTTTTTTTTTTTTTACACAAAATACTTACAATAGAAACAAGTACATGTTTTTAGTCTGGTGTGAGGGATTCTCGGCATGAGGCACGCTAAAAAAAAAAGTATTTTAAAAACATGCATTGCAAATCTGTTCTTCACTAGAAGCTTATACAGCAAGCAGCAGGTTATATGTAGACACGTGAAGAAAGGTTATTTTTCTAGGATACCAAGTACCACAAATAAACAAACTCTCTTGATGCAAAAATAATTATCGTATTAAAATGAGAAATAACCTATGTCTTCCTAAAATTTTGTTTGGAAAGGGGATGCAGCAGGTCTTTAGTACACACACACGGCTGACATTTTATCATTTCCCCCCAAATTTTAAGACTTGCAGAACTTTGACAAAGAGCAGAGAATTCCTGGAAGCAGCAAGGCAAAAAGGTGCTGAGGGATTATGTAACTGACGTCAGTGCTACTAACATTAAGCAATCCTTTGTACCTCAGCTTTTCTCACTCTCCAGAACTGTTTGGGGCAGGCTCATTTAAGGAAGAAATGCTTGCTGAAAGGTTCTCTACAAGTCAAAAGTCTTTCAAGTAATTTTGCCATTTCTAGAAGTTGCCGGAGACAGCTGACATCTATGTTGTGATCAGATGGATCAAGAAAAAGCTTGTGCTTATAAATACATCACTTTATCATCATTTTTATGATAAAGTTTACATTTATGTTTTTCCTTATGTTAGAAGAAAAGTAAGCAATTCTGGCAGATGAAGGTGATGTTTTTGCATCCTATTGCCCTGTCAAACACGATACCAGCTTTATGTACCACCAGAAAAGGATCCTCATAGCAAAGCCAACAGTGCACCAAGATAGCTTCAGAAGCAGATGAGTGGTTCTGCACTAGTGGACACTTACTTCCAGCTCCAGGATGCCAAGCCTGAATAAGTCACTGAACACAATTTACCAACAACCAGCAAGTTCCTTGCTTACATTCTGCAGTTGATTTAGAGAAGTCCCAGTTACTTTAGCAGGAACTAAACTAGCTAGTTGGTGGAATTTCTCTGCACAAAAAGGACTGTATGCTGCCTGAGCTCAGCAGCCACGGTCAGTTCTTCCCTGTTCAGCCATTGCAACATACATTTTCTGTCTTCCTCCTTTCCCAACTCCTCTCCCATAACTTTTATGTGCATCCCTCCACAGGGAGGCCCTTTTCAGGCCAAACAGGCAACACAAGGTGAGATATACGGCTCCACAGTCCACTCAGCTTATCTGTGTCCATGCTATTATAGGAAACATCTGAACTGGTAAACTTCGCCCAGAGGAAATCCCGGACTTTCTCCTCAACTTCTTGCAAGGTGAGGCTCTTTCTCAGCGACTGCTCATCCAGGAGAACTGTCAGCAGAAGAGCCACATCCTTAAATGCTGCATTTTCATGGTCACAGTACTTGTAAAAGATTAAGGTGGAGCCTGCAGGCAGTAATTCAAATCGATGCACCACTGCTACCTTCTTGCCTTCTCTGAACCCAGAGCTGAGCTCATTATCTACCTCCAGCTTGACAATGTCACTATCCAATATGGCTTTGTCTGCCCCATTAATTTTGATTGTAGTAGCATTCTGGGAGAAGGCAAAAGCATCAGCAATCTCGTTACTTAGGCACCTCAGCGCTTTCTCAGCTTCTTGGCCAGCTGTGAACAGTAAGATGGCTGGCTCCAAATGCAGATGGGAAGCATTAAGGTGTTTTTCAAGGAACACGCGGGTTCTTTTCCACAGATTGGGGTCCTGACTTTGGTAAGTATTTTTTAGTTTCTTCATCTGGGCCCGAAATGCTTGCAGAATTTGAGTATCTCTACTTGACAAAGTTGCATCCAGAAGACTTGGTATTCCACTCCACAGGACATAAAGCAATGGGATACTAATTAACAGAACCAGTAACAAAGTCCAGTTCTTGTGAAATCCACTCCGCGATTCACCATCATCTATAGAAAAGAGCAGCAAACAGAAAGAAAACAATGTTTTAAAAGGAATCGGAAGTCAACAAGTAAGAATAAAGTAAGAGGAAACAGTAGAATTCAATGAACTCATCCACTCTCAAGCTACTGGTACAGTAGTTGAAGAGCATAAAGATGATGTTCTAGTTAAAAAAAAACAACAACTTTGAACTTCCTTAGCAACTTAGTGAAGTGACAGCATTAAAAAAAGGACATTTTTATACATTTCCAGATTGACTAAGAAATTGGACATTCTTCTGAAAAAGGAGCTCCTCTGAAAGTTTATCAATACTCCACTCTATTTAATCAAATCCAAACTAAGAACGTAAAACGGTTCTGAAAAAGGTCAAGCTTTTTCCTACATTTAGGCTCTGCAGACAAAGCCCTATACAAAACCTACCATCGCCAGAATGGTTTCTGTGTTGTAATTTCTCCTCCCTATCCCCATAAGGATAAAAATAGTTTCTGCAGCAATATTTGCATCTCAAACACTGGTGATCAACATTATCAGAAAACCTTTGTGGTCTTTGGATCAGTCAGCTTCACAAAGAGTATACACAGCAAACAGTGCACAGGAAGCACATAGAATATCAGATATTTTTATTTGGTTTTGTATTTGAACAGCTAAATTAACACTTGCTTGACCTACTACAAGCATAAGGCTCAATTCTGTTCCCAGTAAAATAAGTGACAAAATACACCAACCTCCCTGGAAACAAGAACGAACTGTATACCTTATGCTACCTTTTTATATCCTAACTTTAATCAGGACAGCCACACAACAGCTGTTAAATAAGAACACCACTAGGCCTGCCTCAGTTTTAATCTTGCAGCAAATCTTGTAAATACTACAGATGGAAGACCTTAAATTCAGGTGGAAATGTTACCCAAGACCCTTCCTTCCTTCCTTAGTGCTGAAAACACATATCCTAGCAAGCAAGTCATCTGTTCTGGCAAGGACCCTCAGTTTAATACCAGCTGCCAGGAAATCTAATACTTGGATAGGCATGAAAATGGTTCAATGTAACACACGCACGAAACAGAAGCGAAAGCAGAAGTCTTACTTTTGGCCAACGGCTGTGACTGCTTCCCTATACTGGACTGATCTCGAAATTTACTTCTGCCTGTTAAGAGATTAAGAAAGGAACATGAGAAAAATACTAAGACAACAATTATAATCAATCTTCCAGCGGGGAATTTGGCAGGGAGTTGAAATCACTGAACTGCAGTATTTTCATTGAAAAGCTGTTCTTAGTTATGCTTTTACATACAAACTCGTAGAAAGCTTACAGGAAGATTAACAAAGCACCCTTGCATAACACCTCGTTGAAGCGAACGCAGTCCTGCTACGCAGGACCAAAGGCAAGACTGGGACCTCGTGCCGGGTAGAGCTGTATCAAGTATGGGGCTTTCTGTTCTCTTCTGCATCATTCACCCTCCTGTGCTCAAGCAAGGCTAGTCTTGAACAAGGAAAATGACACATTCACTGCTACTACTAGCCTGAGAAGTCCCATTCAACTGGCAGACCAACTCGCCATCTATGCTCTTTGCCAGATGTCAGTTCTTAAGCCATCCTTACAATCTTGCATAAGAAGCACAAGTCCCCAACCTATCACAAATCACTCCCGAAGATTTTTAATTCTTGAAAAGTTATGCAAATAAAACCAGAGGCATTTCAAGTACAAGATGACAAAACGACAGATGTAGCAACCTGTTATTTTCTACACAAGGATCCCATGTCCCGATTAAGTTTCCTGATTCTGCTCAGGAGTTTGATGGACAGAAAAATGGAAGCTCAATCAACACATATATTAGAAAAAAACCACAATGCAAGCTATAAATAGCAAAAGCAAAGCGATATGTTAAAGGCATAGTGTCATATTCCCTCTCCATCTAGCTTGAGTCAGAGGCCGGCTTCATCAGCAGTCAGTTTCTTGGGCTGAATTGTACTTTTAAAGCAAAATGCAAGCTTTCAACTCCAAAATATACTTTTGGTCTATTTATTTAAATGGGCTCAGACAGCAAAGTACAAGAGACATTATCCATAAAAGAGTGTTATGAACAACTTTCCCAAGAGACCAGTATGAATATATACACTGCAATTATTGGTCAGCATGTTTTCTGCATTTAGTCAGTTAATTAAAAAGACAGGAGAATTTCTGGCTCCTTGTGAACTACAGCAACTGCTTCAAAGCTGAAGGCTCTTTAATAACCAAATCAGGATACTGTCAATGGCACTATTGAGAATAAATTGAACAAACACAGACTGCAGTAGTTATTTCAAGAACACTAAAATAAATTCTATAACCTTGTTTCTGTATGAATGTAATCGCAGAAGGTGCTAAAAGCAGCTCTGGTTTAAGCCGGAGCTTAACTGGCTTAATGAGCTACCCTATTCTGTAATTTCAATCCCCCGCTCCGATAGGGCACAGACATGGAGCTTGTAACTGGCTAAGCTTATATAAATCTTCTAATAGTTAACAGATCAAAATCACCTCAATTCTGTAATATTTTACAATGTAGCCCTGTTTGCAGAGACTAGGTTTCATGTTTATGAGACAGCTGTGATTCATACCCTAAAGGAAAAAATATTTCAATAAACAGTCTAAAAACAGATCCTACCCTACCTAAGAATCTTGCCTTATTTACAACACAATTTGCACAAAGGCCAAGCAAATTATTCGTCTTGACTAACTCAAAAGGCGTAACTTCTGCAGACACCTTAGAGCTTTCAGAGTTTCAAGTGATTTCACCCAAGACACAACCGGTCACTCCAGCAGCACCTATTACCTCTGGCACAGGAAACAAAAAAGTACCAGACTAGCGAGAACTCCCTGCATCAGTTCATTTTTCAAAGGCGTTTCACAGATGTGCAGCTACCACAAGACAAGCTTCTCTTCTGGAAGGCACTGTGGTTTTAAAAAAAACCCCTAAACACCCCCCCCCCAGGTTCTCCAGATTGAATTCTGATTTACAAGACTTGGTTTATGTATACCTGTTCAGGACAGAAACAAGCACCGAGACATTAAGAACAGAAGGCTACTAAGAATTCAGAACATTTTTTTTCCTGTTCTTTCAAGTACTTTTCCAAGAGGAAAAAAAAAACCAACCAACAAATCCACAAAAACAACCAAAGATAAAAATCTGAAACAAGGAATTGGTCATTAGATGAACAGACTGGAGTTTGCCAGCAAAGAAAAATGCTGCTCCTCTCCAGGAGTATAGGACAACTAATTCAATCATAGCAGGCCACCATTACTCGGGGAAAGGCTAGAAGGGATGGTGATGTGTACAAACTAATCTAAAATTCACTGCTACATGATGAAGGTTTTGTTCCCTTCCTCAGCTCACCCCCACAACGCCACTAATACATGCTCTGCACTTACTGATTGTCCCATGAGTCAACTCCATTTTCCTAACCTAGCCAAAAAAAAACAGGGGGGGGGGGGGGGGATGTGTGGAGAGAAAAAGTGGGTCATTTCCTGTGGTCAGCAAGTTGAATAACCTCATAGAAGGGCTCTGGCTCTGGAATGTGCTGCCTTGTCCAGCTTCCATTTGGATCTGCCTCCTGGGTCCCTTTCCACCTTCCCAGACAGAGTGTCCCAGGGCACAAGAAAAACCATAAGCAGAGTAAAGGAAAAGAATTCTGTACTTTTCACTTAATTACAGGGAAAGACTAGGTATCTATTTTTCAACTTACTCTGTGATGTAGTTGAGAAGTGCTCTTGATTTTTCTCAAGGAAGTCAGCCTTTCTTTCTGAAACCAAAGCACAAATGAAAGAACTTGGTTATCACATCAGAGGTCAAAGTAAGACAGACAAGCCATACATGCTTTTAGCTCTTTCTATGAAATCTTCAAAGGTCATTATGGCAGAAGTATATGCTGTGCCAAACCAAGCCGGCGCCATATGACAGCCTCTTGGACCCCTCTGTAGATGGGGAAAGCTACTATTACCTAATAGAAAGGACTTAATTTCACCCTTCGCCCTGCTTTTCCCAGTATGACACAAAATTATCCTTACTATTTTTTCTTTAAAAAAGTAATGATGCAATAATGATAAAATAAAAAGGATGGGAAATTAGCAGCGTCAATTGATCGCTAATGGAAGGTACCAGATTTGTCACTTCTGAAACCAAAACTTTTCAGCAGGGGATTTGTCACTTCTGAAACCAAAATTATTCAGCAGGAGGGAAAAACAAAATTAAACAGTGTAAAGCTACCACATTGACACCAGTGCTGTCAGATTGGGGAGGGACTCCAGCAAACATGGGTATGTTCTTAGCTGCCTGAGTAAAATGCCTGCGTGCGTTCCTGGGAGACAGCAGGCTGACATAGATGTATCCTTGTGCACATCTCAGCTACCTGGTTCACGTCTGTGTTTTGTCAGCCCGCACTCACAATTGCTTTCAGTGCTCTCCCATAAACACTGTGTGATTAGGACTGTTACTGACCAAATGAATGCAAGCCACTACCTCACTCTGACCAGTTAACCAGCTCTCCTAAAAACCTCCCTTACATAGTATCTGCTTGGATGTGTTCAAACCACCTGTAGTAACATAACTACCTTCTGCTGGACTAAAAAGTATCTCATGTTTTCCTTCTCATTGTATTTCCCTACTGCTTCTGTAACACACATCGAGAAAAATCTCTTGAGCAATGAATGGAAAAAAGTGCTCCCTCACTCTGAAATCACTTGGTATAGTCAGCTTCCCCCTGCTAAAGTCAAAAGTAACTCATCTTTTTAGAAAAAGAATAGTTCTGCTTTGCTTTGCCTGAGGCAATTAAAGATCCACTCTCATAACAGTTTTTGAAATGATATTACTCATCTTTTTGTTTTGCTTTTCAAAAAACAGACGGCTACATATTTATCAAAATTTAAAACTGCGCTTTCTTGAACTTCAAGGTCTTAGACCCAAGCAGATGACTGTCATACTACAATCAGTTTTAATTTGACTCATGGGCAGGAGCACACCCTGAAAAAAAAATTTTTTTTTTAAACTTCTTCATTCATTCAGATTTCAACTCAACAATTCCCCCTTTCGTAACAGAACTGAAAGAATGTCATTTTAGCAATCATTTGTTACATCATGGAAAAGGTACTAATAAAACTGGTGTTGTTACCTTTTAACGGTGTATAAATGTTTGGTTGATGCCCTGCTGGTTTCTCAGGTTCGTTACTGTCATAAGCCTTTGCTTTTTCCTTTATTAGATTCTCTTGAAGAAAGTAAGTTGAAGAACTGCCTGTCAGGAGGCAAAAAAGAAAAAAAAGAAAAAGAGGATCGGTATAGGTGCAGTATCATTTGTGCTCGTAACATCACAAAACTGAAGGACCAAGACACAGTTTCAGAACATACGTGATCTAAATCAGTGATTTCCAAGTTGTGATCTTCCAAGAGTTACTTTCTTAAAATGTAACCAAAAGCAACCGAGACTTGAAAAGCTTATGGTAAATTTGAGTTCACTACAAATATATGTCTACACCACCACACGTGCTTTTTTTTTTTTTTTAGGAGTCTTTGGTTTAAAAACACTTGAAAAAAAAACAAACCAGACATCAAGACACCAAATGCTAAGAACCAAGAAATGCCTTACACTAAAGGTATTCAGTGTAAACTAGTAAATACACAAGCATGGGAGTAAAGAGAATTTTTCCCACAGCTTTGGACACACAACTTACAAACAATAATTGTGCTGTCTTCCATAGCATTAGGTAGAGGGGAAAAGAAAGAGAAGCAAATACAGAACATAAGTCCCCTTTTTATGTAGTCCAAGCCATCCTTTAGTTAGGTCTTTTTCTCTCTCACTAACCATAAAGGCAAGCTAGGGCACCTATGCTCCTAACTTAACCCCATCAAGTAGCTGGGAAGAATTTAAACCAACACCATTAGGTTGTTTGCCAAATTACACAGCCATTTCGACACTGAAACCCAACTTCGTTAATGTTACTAACTAGAAAGAATAAAGCCCTGTAAGATGACAGGAGTCACAGAGCAAAGGTCAGGGCTGGAAAGCCAGTCAAAAACAGAACACCAGGAGAAGAGGTTTGAAAGGATAAAGTGCAACCACATGGTTGCCCAGATTCAAGGAGGGGAGAAAAAATTTCAGGTATGGAGAGAAAGCTGTAGTACAGCTGCGGAACAGAGACCATGACACAGCAATCAAGCTGAAGGGCATAAGCAGAGGAAACAGCAAAGGGAAGAATACCATTGGTAAAACTTTTTCTCTGTAACATTCACACAAGACCCTTTTGTTCTTTTAAAGTACTGGTTCTCCCAGGGTTTAATGTGTCTCTATAGCTCTATTACCATACGCACAAGGGCCACACACAGCTTGCCACCTAGTGTTTATTAATTTTACTTCAAGAAAAGAAAACATAGCCTTTTTCTAATATGTTCTGGTAGCTTTAGCATGTCTGTGTATGTGAAGCATACAAAGGAGGGAAAAAAAAAAAAAAACCAAAACCAACCCAAAACACAAACAAGGGAGAAAACTGTGAATTTTAAACTAAGATATTAAGCGACAGGTACAACAGTAAAGTAGTTGCACGTAGTGAGTAGGATACTATACTTTCAAAACAATCTTAAAAACCTGTTAAATGATTGATTTCTCACCAAGCTAAGAATGAAGATACTCACTAAATTACTTGATCCTCAGGAATG